ATCATATATTTTTATAAAAAGCTGACTTCTCTGCCCTTCTAGGAATACCTGGAAGCACTGATGGCACCCTCAGCAGCTAACCAGTGAGAGTGTTGTCAGTACTAGTAATTTTATTCATACATGTCCCCTTAACCTTCTTGTCTTGTGGGTAAAAAGTTTAGAATAGATAATGCTAGGACAGCAACAGCCTCTCTCTTTTTTTTTCTTTCCCAATATAATCCAACCTGCTGTTGGCTTTCTCATTCAATACCCAATACATGAGAAACAAAATTGTCCTTCCTGTTACCTTAATGACTTTGGGAACTGAGTTAAAGGGACAGTGTCAAGTTAAATCGTACATATTCAAGAAATATTAGACCAGGGCTGACCAAGTGGTGGCCTTTAAGGAGCTAAATTGTGGTCCCTGAGGCTTTTTGGTACAGCTCTGGAACCCAGAGCATAAATGCTGTTTCCACTTGTCCCCCACCCTGCTCCTTGCCTGCCACAAAATTTGGGAACTTTGGTTGCCATTGACGGAAAGGGAAAAAGGGGCGGAGGGTAGAAAGTGGTGGCAATGTTTGCCCCTGGGTTCTGGAGTCTTGCCAGCAACAAGCTGCTGCCCAGTGCTAGAGGTTGGTTCTCTGGCCCATGAGAAGTTCTGTAGTTTGAGTCCAGCCTTGGGGCCATATAAGTTGAACAGCCCAGTTCTAGACTGAGTTTGCCTCTTCATCAGTTAGTGTTTGCTCTGCACACATCTTTACAATGCTGCTGGAGCAGTTAATTTAACTTTTCTTTATAGTTAATAGGAGTGTGTATATTTTATAGATTGAGCTTGGGATTATGGATTTTTATTTTTATTGTCTCTTTATGCTTGTTATATGTAGCTGCTTTATGGGTATGCGCATTTGTTTGGTGGGATTTTTTGTTTGTATAGATCAGTGGTTCTCATACCTTTTGGATTCAAAGCCCTCCTCCATAACTTGTAAATTGAGCAGCACCCAGTTTCAAAAACTAATTTATATTTTACCTCCTTATACAATGCTTACCTCCAAACACAGAGTCTTGGCAGTAGGGGTGGGGGATCATCCAGGCAAGGACGAGCCTGAGGCTGGCTTTTCTGCTTGTCTCCTCCTACCTCACTTATTTCCTCACACCTCATAGCACTCTATGGAGGATCTGTCAGAACTCTGGTTGAGAATCACTGGTATAGATTCATTTGTAAGATCAAGACCTGGCATCATGTTTGTTTAAAATCTTCCAGCAATTGAATCTCCTTTTTTTTTTTTTTTTTTTTTTTTCCAGGTTCAGGAATGCAATGTTGAAAAGTATCTGTGAGGTTCTTGATTTGGAGAGGTCAGGAGTTAATAGTGAGCTGGTAACCAGAATCTTAAACTTTTTAATGCATCCAAAGCCTTCGGGCAAGGTGAGATGGTTTTGTTATGCTTAATCTTATGATTCAAACATGGGGTGAGACATGGACAGAAGAAGAATGGGAAGTGTTGATTTCAGTGGGTGTCCCCTTCGCAGATAACAGGTTCTTGTGTTTAGTTTAGCTAGAGAAATGGATGGTGAGTGGTTTTATATACCTGGTTCTGTAGTGTCCCTTAATCTGGCAGGCCACAGCAGATCACTTGCAGGCTTTAGTAGAAGACACAGGCTTGTATCTTTCTGCACCCATGATGTTCATCTAGGTTGCAAGAGTGTATATGGTCAGCTTCCTGGTGTTGTTACCAATGGATATCCATGCTCAAGCAAGATACAGCCTTTTTGCTGCCTTGAACAGAGAAGAGCCATGAGGCACGATCAAAAAAATTGAAAGGGGCTGGGGAGAAAGGGAAAGAAAATTGGGAAGAAGAGAAGTGTATTAAGGGTGCCCAGGGTATTCTATGAGTGGGCAAAGGAGGGTATATGTCCTTCAACTCAAGCACTGGAATCTTTTGGAAACAGTGTGTTTCCCACCTGAATCTGTTGGAAACACAATGTAACAAATCAAGAGCCGATGCATTTGTGCTAGCTGTCTTTTAAGCAAATGGGTTTCTGCAATCTATGTTACTTTTCAGGAGCAGCCCTAAAATAGGATATATTGGAGCACGTACCTTTCATAGCTCCAGAAAGATTTGTGTTTCATACAAGTCCAGCATCAGTAAGAGAGAGCTGCAGAAATGTGTTTAAAGTAATCACTTTTTTTTTAAACCTATTTAAAAATTTTCAGGAAGAGGGCTCTGAAAGTACCCACAAATTCCCCTCACCAAAATTATGATTTTTTTAAATGATGGGACTAGCTAATCTTAAAATATTTGGATCTTCATTATCTGAGGAAATAAATCTCTAACTTCACTCAGTTATTGAGATAAAGGATTAAAATAATTGCATGGCAAAATGTTAATCCAGAATTATCATTCTTTGTCACTTCAGAGTAGTGGTTCTCAACCTTTTTAGATTCAAGGCACCCCTGAATAAATGAGGCAGCCTTTGGAAAATGCCAGCTCCCTAGTTTTCATTCTCTTTTGACTACAGAAAAATAATAGAGTAGTTTTTCTGTTGCAAAGAACTCAACGCAACTATGGATTTGTTTGAAATTTCTGGTTTTATCTTGAGAATCAAGTTTGCAAACCTAACGATGCTAACATTGTATGGCACCCCAGGGCACCCCTGAATGGATCTCAAGGTACTCCAGGCTGCCACAGT